CTATGTGAGCAGCAGAAATACCTTGATGGTCATCAACAGCTTTCTTGTTGGGCTTGGAGAGCTCAGTCAGACAGAAATCATATCCAGTAATGGAAATATAGCCAGCTACCTAAGGCTAATGAAGTCATAGATCTTGGGAGAGAACTTACAACCACGAATTTACTAAACCAGCATAATTCCCCTAACCAAGCTCTCAATGATCATCCTTATATACATTGGTAAATGTAGTCTTCAGCCCTCATCAAAGAATCTTCTCTTTGCAACAGATAGAGAACAATACAGAAAACTACAACTGATCAAAATGCAGAGTGGTACAGCTTGGTCTTAATTGTTATATCTGCATCAAAACTCCTGCAGCTACAGGGATCATTGCAAAAGAAGGGGCAGAAAAGTTGAAAGGGCCAGAGGAACAGCATGTTTTCTGTGAGTTGTATATTCTAGAAATGTTGAGGAGGCTGTGTCCATGAAGCCTCACCATCATGGCTACTTAAACACAACCTAGAGAAGGATAGCATCAATAGGCATGCTAACATAAAAAGGGAAAACTCAAGGGGCCTCAATCTTAGTTAAAACACTACAGATAACTAAGGAATGCTGAGAGCAGGAGAAATAGTCTTCCTTGGGGAAGAGTATATGGACTGACTGTACAATAACAAATGGTCATCCCTGAAAATATATACATATAAGTAATATTATACAGATGTAGCAGGTTGTAACTAAATATTTATGAGCACACAGACAAATGTAATAATAGTTAATTAAATAAAGATCTTGAATTTGAAAGAGAGCAAGAGGAGTATAAGTATTAGGGGTTGAAAGAAATAAAGGGAAGGAGAGAAATAATGGAATTACAACTTCAAAAAACATTTTAAAAAGTATATGTCAGTATCTATCCTATTTGCAATTCTACTGTGTCCTAATTGGAAACATTAATGCTAGAATCTAAAGCCATGGTCAGCAGAATCTGCATTTCTATGAATGCAAACAATCTGTGTTGGCTGTTAAATGTCCACAAATGATGACCAAATTTTCTGTTCTGAACATTAAGATTCTAAAATAAAGGAACAAGCTAAATCTGCATCATGATTTACCCTGACCTAAAACAGAAGAATGCTTGTTGGTTTGGTGTAGGATTTTCTCTGGTGTATTTTGGTTTATATTTGAGCTTCTGATGTCCTAGACTGTAGTTTAGTGATGGATAGATTGGAATTATTTCCACGGACTCTAACTGTCACTGCCATTGCTTCTGAGTAATTGTACTGGTACTGCAAAAGAAGGATTAGAGGTTAACTCTCTGGGGGCAATGGAAGTACACATCAGTCTCTCCTGGTTGCAGGGTAATACAAGAAACATAAAGCTAAGGTAACCAGAGATCACAGTGCAATATGCTTTGAGTGGGAGGATATAATCTTGAAGAAAAATAGCAAAAACAGCAAGTCTCTCCTCTGTAGCTGTTCACCAACTCTTGTACCCGTGACACTATGGATACATTGCAAACAACAGAAGTCAAGGTCACAAGAATTATGTGCTATTGATTACTAGAAAGGCCTGACTCTGCTGACTGATGTGGAAGAGGTTTGACCAGAAAGTCTCTTGCTTCTTATGGTAGGGATCAAAGTACTTCACTGTCCCCCTAGATGACTGCAGCAGAAAGAGTTTTCTCCCAGTTTCTCTGCACAGCTCACAAGCTGTTATTAAGAGGAAGGTATTCCAAATGTGAGTGAGAGGGCTTAGAAAGAAGATTTCTGGAACTTTTCATGAATGGTAGTTAGATTTGTTTTCTTTGTTTCTGTTATTGTGTCTTAGGTTGGTGGGGGAAAATCCAAGGCCAAACTTCCCTCTTTTCCATCCTTTTGGTAACTGTGGAACATTTGGGAGATCAAAGCAGAAGCTGTGAGGTGAATATCAATTTGACTTGTTAGTTGCCTAAGAATCAAAGCAAAGATCTAAAACTCAGGAAAAGGCCTGGTTAAAGTAGGCCCAAGGCAACGAACTCCACCTCGGGCTGGAGCAGGCCTGAGGCAAAAGAATTCCACAGGAGTGGACTAGCATCCTAGGCCTGAGAGGGCCTGAGAAAGCAAGCTCCATGGGGAGTATCTAGTCCAGGGACATTGGCAGACTAATACTGAGACAACAACCTGGGCCAGAGCAGATCTGAGACAGTGAACTCTGCAGACCTGAGACAGTGAACTCTACAGGAACAGGTATAGGGGAGCAACTTCTGAGCGAGGGAGCCAGCACCAGAAATCACTGAGAGTTTGGACATGTATCTGGGACCTTCAAGGGAATAGACCTAAGCCAGGACCCCTGTGGGTCTTGATGTGAGTCTAGGATCTCCAAGGAACTAGGCCTGAGCAAGGACCTCTTACAGGTCTGGGCATGAATCTGGGACCTCTGAGGGAATATGCATGAGCCAGGAGGAACTCTGTGGTTCTGGGCTTTAGTCTGGGACATCAGCAGGAAAAGGCAGAATCAGGAAACCTCTGCAGGCCCAAGCATGACTCTGGGACCTCTGAGGGAGTAAGCCTGTACCAGGTCCTCTGCGGGTCTGGGTGCACCCAAGCCTGGGAACTCCAAGAAAGTAGATTGGAGCCAGAGTCCTTTTCAGAACCAACCCTAAGCCAGGGAACTCTGCAGGAAAGGATCCAGCCAAGGTATATTTACAAAAACAGGTCTGAACTGACAACCTAGGCTAGAGCAGGCCTGAGACAGCAAACTCAAAGGGAGTGGAACAAAGCTTGGAAGCATTGAGTGACTTCCAGAAACACCGAGTGACCAAACTAGAACTGTGGCACTGACTGTACCATGAAGAAAAACCATCTGAGCCTTGGATTCACTGGCACCTAGAAGATTAATCAACAGAATTACAGACAGTCCCAATCACACCGATTAGAAAAAAAAGATGAATAGAAAAGGTAAGAACACATGAAACACCACAAAGAGCAATACGAAACCAGTAAAACCTAATGACCCTACAACAGCAACACTTGAACAACCAAGATGAAGCAGATGGAGGAATAGCAAACAAAAAATTGGAAGACATCACTAACCCCTTAAAAAAAAAAAAAAAAAAACAAGAAGCCGAGCAGTGGTGGCACACACCTTTAATCCCAGCACTCGGGAGGCAGAGGCAGGCGGATCTCTGTGAGTTTGAGACCAGCCTGGTCTACAAAGCTAGTTCCAGGACAGGCTCCAAAGCCACAGAGAAAACAAAAACAAAAACAAACAAAAAAAAAAAAAAA